TTCTTTGGTATCCTCCCTGGTGAGCACATTAACTCAGTGAACAGAAACAAGTTCTGCAGGGAGGATACCGAAGAATCATGATTAGGGAACAAGAAGTCCGCTAAGCTACTGAAACTCAGGATTTAGGTGAGGACAAAGGCAAAAGCTTTGACACTGAGCTCACAGCTTTGACAAAACCCAACCACACTCACTCTGACTTATTCTGTGTTAAATGTGACTCAGTACAATATCTGCCACAAACTTTAATAAACCTCTTTCTGAGATTCTGCAGTATGAATAGTAAATTCCTATAAATGCGAAAGGCCAGCTGCAAAATTAACTGGATAGTAAATATCGGCTGTAGGCACAAGAGGGAATTGTCTGGAACCAACTATTAGTAAATCTGGGACTTTGAATAATAACATAAAACCCATTTTATGTCGCATTCATTTTGTTTAACTTAAAATCACATTAAGTCTGAGTAACCCTTGGATGCAGGGTAAAGCACCACCTACCTATAAAGCATTTCCCTTGTTAGCTTTGTAGCTGACAGATAGTAATGGGTATTATCGGCTCTGGTAACCCTCTTGTATACTTCCTACCCCTGCTGTATACCAGTCGGCTGTAGCCTTCGCTCCCACTGACAGCTCCGTTAAAATCTCCTCTCACAATCAGTTCAACACACCCTGTTATTTTATCCGTCACTGCAACATTTTATTGACAATTCACAGATGTAGTTGCCACATCGCCGTGAATCTCTTCGCATATGCATGGCCCATCAGGCATAGAAAAACTAGAGAAGCTGCTAAAATCACAGGTAATGTAACTTACTTAAACCTGCAAATTGAACCCAACAGAATTCACCTTACTTCTTACTGAAAATGTGCTGAAGCATTTGAGATGATTAAAGGAAATGTCAAAATTAGAGTCTATCTACCTAATCCTTAATATTTTCGGAGGCTTCAAGGAGCAATTTATCCTACTTGAGCTATAATTTGGAGAATTTATTTTTTGCCATCCTTTGCCTGTTCATTGTGAAACCATCCCTACACATGGAGGTGGCCTAAGATGAATTCGGTAGCCTGAAAGACTCTTGACTTTACCCACAGAGAAGTCTGTTAATTTTCCATGGTCTGGTGGTCTAATATATCACTCTCTGGATCTAAAGGTCAGATGTGATTCAAATCCAACCAAATAAGAGAAACTATATTTTAACCTAATGACTTAAAAAATTGTCTCTTTCAGCACAAAGGCTGCTCTTTGTTACCCATTTGAAGGGAACGCAAAGAGGTTTGTGCAGTCATATATACTTTGTAACAGCATCAGCTCTTTTCAGTAACTCAAAAAATAAGTTTTATAAAACCATGCCTACTGTATATAAGAAAAAGATTTATCCACCTGACAGGGATCACAGCTTTTCAGTACAGTAGCAGCAAAATGTAAGCCCTGATTCATAAACATTTGCCTGACAGTGGTGCTAAAAATGTTTTAACTCGATGAAAACTGCATTTATATTTTATCTTTGCATACGATCCTACGTTTATTTGCATATTCATTAGTGGTTATATGGCAAATATACTGCAGTGTGCTTTAAAACTACCAAGGCAGCATGCTTAAATGAAACACAAACCAGGGAGTGATGCCATAAGATAGAAATAACCTGTGATGTCACACAAAGCAAGGATTAAGTAAAACAAGAACGCTCTATGTGTTGGTATGTGTTCTGTTGTGTTACGATGGCCTGAGCCAACCACACTATCTATCAATATTCATGGGAGAGCTCAGGCAGAGAAGTCCTTACTGTGCTGTGAGGTCTAGTCAGCTGTGAGTGGAGCCACCGTGACACAGACGGCATGTGGGTACCGCTGTGACTTAAGAAGATGGAGGGGTCGCCCGATGCTGCAGCCAGGATGGATGATGAGTGTATTTGTGTGACTGCAGGGGGACGAGACAATTTTAGAGGCTCTGCGAGAACTTATAGGCAATTTTGTGTCTCTCACTTGGTGCGGCATGTTATTTTTAATCACATTGTGCTCATCTTTGTGAATTAGCAATTACAAAGGGATTGCCCACTTCAATTTGGGTAATGGACTTTTTGTCATTGAAGGAAGTAGCTGTTCAGTGCATCCCTCTTTATAGATTTCTTACCCTTGTGTCAGATCAGGCTTTTACCCCAACATTAGGGTAACGAGCTGCTGGCCACCTGCACTAGATGCGTCTCCTCCTTCCTGCCGCCACAACCACAGAGTGCATCTTCAACCTCATAACTTTTGTTTTCAGAAAACTTTCAGAAACCTTTATCTTATTATCATGCCTTCAAGGATTATTGTATTAATTTATACTGTTGTAAGAGTGGATATACAGTAATGGTTTCCAAACAAAGATGCCTTCAGGCAGCTTTTTTTTTTGTATTTGCAGGTACATTAAATTACTGTGAGTGATTATTCAAGTTACCTTTGTGCTATTTTATGTGTCAGATGTCAGTAATTTTTTGCAGGAGTTTGATTCAGTCTTGCCTAAGTTCAGAGATATAAGTGCGATCCCCACGCAGGGAACAGGGAAGCTGGGTTCCCTGTTCCTAGCTCCCAGCTAAAATGTCCAGGCTTAGTGGCTTAAAGTTACATGGTCACTTTATTTGGTAGGCTGATGTTAACACAGGCTGCTAGACATTTGCTAGGTCTAACATCACCTAATTCAAGCATTTCATCTCTGTTTTTGGAGCGTTTTCAGTGCAATTACCCAGCAAACGATACGTCTTCTTGTAGTTAATTGTTAACAGAGTACATTCAAGAAGTCTGCACTGATTTTTGTGTGAGTGAAATTCCATCCATCCATTTTTTTTCATCTAAATCAGGAGGGCGGACTGGAGCCTGTCTCAACTATCATTGGCAGTTACTTGCAGGGTACACCCTGGACAGGTCCAATCCATCACAGAGCTATCACATTAAGTGTGCCCTAAGCATCCTTCGAAGGACGTGGCCTATCACGAGGAGCCGAAGTGAGCGGTTAAATGGGATGGTCTAGCCTACGATGCGCCGCTTCTGTTGCCTAGCAGCTACAGACCTTATCATTGCTCAACTTAGATATAGGAGAAAATCTTCATTTTGCCTCATTTGTTTTTACTTTTACTAGAGGAAATTAAGATGTCTGTGATCTGTCTGAGGCTGAGAGACTATAGTCACATAAAAACAAGACTGTTAGCCAAATGTAAAACGTTAGCTTGTAAACAACAGCTAACTAATGTCATTTATGCGACTGGTGTCATTACAATATAATTTGAATAATATAAAGGGGCCTACATTGACAATGTTATATATATTTTTAATCAAAAATGACAAGTGGTGCAGTTTAACTCAGATGACTCATACTGAGCTTCAGTAAAAGTTTAAGATACATTTCCATTTCATATCATTGAATATCATCACTGCTCTATCTCAGCGATAAAAAATATTGTTAATATAGCGCAACCTACATTTGTCTGAAAGCTTTACTTATTTATATCTTCTGTCTTTCCCCAGGCTGTCGGACTACTTTACTACGCCCCCTTACTTCGATCACTACTCGATTAATGTGTTACAATAAGGCACTTACCTATACAGGCTATAATAGCTTTGCACACTGGACTGAATATAAGCATTTTGCACATCATGATCCACCTACATATTGCATTTGCTCCCTTCTTGCTCATAACATTTACATATTTTTCAAATTCTGATTTGTATCCTAATAATATCTGTAGGCAGTTGGTATATATTCCTATTGTGTGCACTTATACTAATATTTATATGGCTATGTATGTATTGCATATACTATTCTATATTTTATTTCTGTGTCACTATTTTATTACACTGTGACACCGAAACAAATTCCTCCTGGTTTACATTTAAGCGCAGTATCCCGTAATTTTAGCAAAAGTTATAAAAAGAATTAACAAGATGTGACCATTTTATGTTTCTCATAAAGTGAAGGACAAATTGATGCTCTTAATATTTCTTTACTGAGTTATAAAATAATTTCATAACTACCATGACAGGGACAGCAAACCATTCACACCAACAGACAGTTAATAGACAAGTAAGCACATGTTATTTCTATATTTAAAAGCTAAATGCTAATTACCTTAAAAATCAAACTCACAAACTTACCCAACATGCATAGCGGTTCCAGCCCAGGACCTTATTGCTGTAAATCAACAGTGCTAGCTACACAAAGTGAAAGTCTAGCAATATTTTATTTAAAAGTTAGCAGAGTTAGCAGGTGTTGTCTGAATGCTACAGCAATACAGATGGATGGGCTCTGATAACCAAGCTAGCTTTTCTTAGCTTATAACTCAACACTTCACTGCTCCTGTCCAAACATCCAGCTGCAAAAGATGAAAGTGCTTAAACCAGGCGTCAGAACCTCTAATCTACAAACCAATGGATGTCTTCGCCGTGACTTTCTCTGTGTCGTACTGTATACAAGCATCCATCCATCCATGCTTCCTTGCAGTTAGTTTCACAGCCCCCTCTTGATATACATTTGATGGTAGTGAAATGCAAAGTAGTGACGCACTCGAAGAAGAAAACACTAAGCACGAAAACAATACGCACGACAAATATTTAGTGAGTCAGCTTGGTAAATATTTCATGTTTCTGGGAGAAACATATAAAATTGTATGTCATGTTTATTTCGGATTGTAATATTCTCAGTCTCTCCATAATCAATGTTTTGACTCTTTGAATAATGCAATCATCTATGGTTCTAACACATGCAACACAATACTTCAGAAAATCTGCAGGAAAACACCAACCCACACTTGCAGGGTTTATTCCCCAGTGTGTGTTGCCACTAGCCCCGCTGTGGAGAATCGGCGTGTTTGTCTACAAAAGCATGCATTGTGTTCACAATTAACCAGCCTGACAGACTTGTCAGCAGTCTTCAGGGACGTGACAGGCGGCGTGGAGTTGTGAATGGGAGAGGGGGCGGGTACAGGGAAGCAGACGCAGCTCTCCTGCCGGAGGAGCGCACACAGAAAAGCGCAATCCGATGGAGCGTAGGCGGTTTACCTCACACACCTAAACACGCGTAAACATACGCACTCACTTCTCCTCAAACACCTAAACCAGTCTCCAAAGGAGGTTGTTTTTTTACCCAAAGAGAATAAAAAAAAATCTAAGGACAGGATGGATTCTGCACAGCTGCTCCTTCTGGTGTTGTGCGGATACCTGCCAAAAGTAAGTCTCTGTCTCTCTTCATACTGAAACCATTAATTTATACTTTTACTACAGGCATATTAGATTAAATCCGCTGTTGGACTCTTAAAAAACATTTTCGAGTGTGTTTAATGTAATTAAACAAAAACCCTTTTACTTCTATTTTACTTTTCCTGCTCTATGATATTTCCTGTTCATCTCCTCGTAAGACATCTGGCTTTAGAAAGATAAACTAGGCTGCTTTCACCCAGCAATATATGTGTGGTTGGGTAATTTCAGTAGCTGGCAACGTGAACAGTTGGCTTTTTAAAAAAAAAAAAACCGTGAGTGTAGTAAAATAAAAAGTCCTCTAAATTCTTAAAGATCGCACATGATAGTGGTTCAGATCAGAAACCTTTGTGTGTGAAATCCACCAGCCTGGCTGCTTTTTACTTTGTTCCTCCGCCTGTTTGATTTATTGTATACAAGTGGACACCTCATACAGGGCTCCCCACTATTTTCATCCATTCTCCCAGGTGGATGAGTGGAGTAATTTACCTAGGCTCTATTTTTACTACTCTAGTAAATAGTTGTAGTCTCTCTAGGTTTATATAATTACATAGAAAGCCTTTGAGCATTGCCACCTGGCAATAAGTCACCTTTTAGTGGCACTCAGTGTTTCTGCAGGGAGTTTTTCTAAGCCTGCACTGTGAGTGATGGATGCATAGGCTTTCCCGCATCTCCTTAAAATTACACTCACTGTAGACGTAAGCAGGAGTGAGGCATGAGTCTCTGCTGGTCTGCTCGGTTGTACCTTTCGGTCCTTTTGTGAGCAACAAACCGAAGCGCCGTCAGGTTTTGCCTCATTTTTCAGAAATGTTATGTCAATTTCACTTCAGTTTTATTTTTTTTACTACACAATAGCACCGGTTCACAACAGTCAATATTTGAGAATATTTGGAATGTGAAGAGGGCTCTCACTGCATTTCAGTAACTGAGGGCAGAGGTTTGCTCGTTATTCATCTAATCTCTGTCAGGAACCTGTAGTTTCAGCGAACTGAAGAGGCTTTTTGTTACAATTTTCAGACATGTGGGAGAGAAAAGAAATAGACAAATATCTACTAATAGTTATAATTTTGTGCTGATCTGAGTCATCTGTCCCTGAAGCACGGCTTCCTCAATGCTTTCCACAGAAGCTCTTATCAGGCAGACTACACTGTGAACATCTACTGTATTTGCCTGTGTGAGAATTTCTCCCCGCTCACCTCTCATGACTCTTTGATATCAGGCTCAGCCTGACGTTTTAGCTTAGCCAGATGTGTGATTAGTTGACATACTTTATTGGCTCATATGCCGTATATTTGTCTCTTTTTTTCCCCCTAAGTCCTTAGATGGCTGCTTTATAATAACACACCGTGACATGTTTCATCAATATGAATATGTCCAATAAGGAGTTGTGGTGCTGAGTGAAGTGAAGAAAGTGGTTAAAAAGGGTATGTTAGTGGCTGGATGTTGCTGTTATTGATTTAACCGAATGCAGATGGGAGAAGGAGAAGAGCAGGGACAGGGATGAGAGGTGGTGGTGGGAGGTGAGGATGGGGGCAATAATGATTTCTCTTCCTCGTCTCTCTCTGAATATGAAACCAGTCGAGAAAAACCTTAAGGAACTTTTCTTCCAAATAATCACAGAAACCCATTTACGCTGTGGGGTGGTGTGGGAGGTGCAGCACAAACGTATTTTATTTCTTCAAACAGTTTCCGTTCCGATGCGTGAAAATGACTTTTCTGTTTTGGTTCAAGTGTGTAAAAAAAAAGCAAATATATTCTCTGCCTTAATATCCTTATGTGTCTGTACCAGTGGCTGAATGTAACTAAGTACATTTACTCAGGTGCTGTTTTGAATTTTATGATAATTTAAATCTCTACTCCATCTCAGAGACAAATATTAATATTATGTATTTGTCCATAAGCTTTAGTGGCATATTAAAACTATCATATTCCTCCTCTCACGTCGAGGCAAACCGCAAATCGCCAAATTTGGAGATTTTAAAATTAAATCAGGCTGAAGGATATAGTGTTCCTTTGTTGGCTGACAATTCTTTTTAAATATTAGCAGGTTATAAATGTAAAATAAAGCTAGAAAATGCAGAAAACAGGACTTTGAGATGCATAGTTCTCACAGGGCTCTGATCCTACAAACACATGGTGCAGATTAAACCGTCCGACAGTTTATGAAGTTCAAAATAGCTCAACCTTAAATTTCTGCAGCAGTAAAATTCAGCAAACGCATTAATGAATCAGTTATATTACCCCTAAAACATCATGGAAGATAGTAAAACACTTTTACTCGTGGAGTATTTCAACAGTAGTATCATATTGCTTCTTAAAGTAAGCAAGTGAAGGCACTGAATACTTCTTCCACCACGGGCTCTTAAAGTTTAGAGATGTTTCCACTCTCTCTGCAGTCACACAGTAAGTCAGCATTTCCAAACTTTGACTGCGTAAAAATAGAAATGAAAATATCTGTAGCATTATAGGATTACTTTCAAAGGATAAGCATAAAGAATGCTTCAGAAATAACGGTGTGCAAACAAAAACAGTTGTCTAAGGAAGCAGAAGGCCACAAGAATGCAGTTCAAAGCAGGCCTATATTTCTAAACGTGCATGTAATATGATCTTTTTTAAATACTAGCACGTGCAGATATTACGGTATTGTTTGGTCTCTTCATGCTGTTGGCAAACTGTAATACTTAATCACATTGAAAAAACAGGGGTTGTAAATCTTATTTATATAAATAAGTAAAAGATAAATATGAGGCCTATTGTATAAAAATTAATCCCTGCAACACTCAAAGCCTGCTCTATTATATAAATCTGGCTGTAGTCTACTATTGTGTTGTCCATTATGTAGCCTCTTATGGCAACACAGTGGCATCATAATATGTCATGTCATAGTTTTGTGCATATAAATTAGATGTTGCTGTGCTGGATGTAAAATAAAACAATGATTTTTCGGGATGTTATAGGTGCACGGACATTAAAAGTTATTCATTTGAGCCCATTGGTAGGTGGTTGCTAGGCAACAGGATTACATCATATATGTAATATTGATAAGAACCTTCTGTGGCCGGAGAGGTACCTGTGTGTCAAGTTTGGTTGTTCAGCTCCTGATTGTGTTGGAGGAGTTTGTGGACCAACAAACAAACAAACAGACAAACAGACGTTTGGCCCATTAGGATGTACATGGAGAAAACTGCGCTGTGAAAGACTGATGTGAAATATTCCAAAATTTTAGCTTTATTTATCAAAGATTGTATTTCACAAATACCGCACAATTGATGAAAGCTCACTCTGAACTGATCATAGAGCAACAAGTTGTGTTAAAGCAGAGCTGCTTTGGGTTATTGGTTACAGATATGTGGCAGCAGCTACTCCGTCAGCTAATTTTGGCACTTGTACTGGCAACTGGAAACGGCACTGCATAATTGGAACCACATAAATCCACAGCCTGATGTTTGATCATTCAGAAACAACATGATAATCACTCAAGCTCTTTGAAGACCATGCATAAGCACATTGTTCTCAGTAACTGAGAGCAATTCAAAATACTGCTCAAGTCGTGTCAGACGTGTCCTGTGCTTTTGTTTGTTTGGCTTGCACGGTGTTCAAGCCTTCGTTTTTTGTCAGATTTTTAACAACAGGCAACCATTATGTAGATGCTGCTCGTTTTTGTTTTGTTCAGTGAAGTGTAGAATTGGGAAAAACATATTAGTCCACAATGTCAGACACGAGTTTCACCTTTCATTCTTCTGTCAGCTCTTCCTCCTTTTTAGAATTTGATTGTTATCTCAAACAATGCCAGACTGGGAGCCACTTTGAATAACAACAATCACTAAATACTTCCTTGCACTGCTCACGATGAGGTCTACGCAACCAAAACTTTAAATCCTGCAGGTATTTATTCAACGTTTTCCACCCTGAGACAACGTGCATACGTGTTCTGTGTGTATATGTGCTTGTAGCTAAGTCTTTGATGAGGTCCACTTATCATCTGTACAATTTTGCGTAGTTTGGCGCTGACATTTTGATTCATTCCTCAATACAGTCATCTCCATAGGTGGCTGTCTAAGTGCTTGGTATTAGTAGGTTTCCAGTATCTCAAGCGGCAAGCACTTAGTTTTTGTCTCCTCCTTTTTGAGCCCAGTTATAGATCACTGTCGCATCTCCTCCCCTCCTGTATCACTCCAGCTGTATGAATCCCTTGCTGTGAACTCTGATGACTGTTTTATCATTGGTCTACCTCTTTGTGTGCTCTGGCTCTATTCACAATATACAGGATTATGTGAACTAATAAACTACCTCCATGCAATAGAGAAAGCTTGATCCCAGCAGCCTACAGTAGAAAGCCATGCTCACATTCCACTGCTATGTCTGTTTTCTTCCCTGATGAGGGACTTTGTTTCAGTTTTTCTTCTGTTTATGCAGCATTAGTGGCTTTTGGGAAACGTCACATTCAAAATGAGTTACATTTTGCAAAAGCTGCAAGACACGAAGCAACTTTAATTATCATTGACATTTTTAAAATTGTTGGCTGTTACCCAGATCTTTTTATTATTATTATTATTGTTTTTAGAAAATGCAATTTATTCAAATAAACATAAAAAAAAGAATTTAAATGCAGATTTGTCATTGTAAAGATAATGAGAGTGTTAATGAGATTCAGGATGGCCCTGTTATACTGTGGGGAGTCAGCATGCATAATCACTAGAGTTGAAAACACAAACAGATAAAGTTTAATTATTTAAACTTATTGAGTCTCTTGCTTTAAGTCCTTTGGTTAAACCCTGCCAGTAGGGGGCAGCAGAACAAACGTGAAATACAAAATATAAGTACATTAATCTCTATAAGCAAATATTTGCATGTTAATAGAGTCTGTATGAAAGGGACACAATTTATTGTCCTGTTTTTTACATTTTATTTCGTAGTCTGATTTCTATTGACCAATCACAGTTGACAGACATCGACCCGAAGTCCTGAAACAGTGGCCATACAAAAGACACCAGACGCCAAGTAATCAGAAAACACCTGACAGTAGATTACAAGTGAAAGAAATTTAGATTTTCACACATAGTTAATTACTCGGAGGGATTTTTCTAAGACATTAGGACATAAAACTGCTTTTTGCTCTCTATTTTTGGTCCCCACGATGAAGTACCTGATAGGACAGCTGGGACTCCGGAGGTAGAGCTGGTCACTTTCTATACAGAAGGTTGGTGGCTTGATCTTCAGGTCCTCCAAAATTTCAAAGTGCCCTTGGGCAAGACACTGAATTTCACTTGACTCTTGATGGATCCATTAGACAGTGTGAGATCCATGTGACTGAAGTGCTTAAAGGCATAGAATACAGTGCTGTATGAATGGGTGAATGAATCTTTTGGTAAAAACATCTTCTGCAGACTCAGAGTAGAAAGGCACTCTATAAGTACCAGACAATTTACTATTTGTTTGGCTGCTAAATTCTGCAGTAGGTTAGCTGCTTAACACACTAAATAACCAATCACAAGGCAGCAACTCAAACCATTTAGGCTTGTAGGGATGCTCAGAATGACCTGCTGAGGTTCAAGCTGAGTATCAGAATGTGCAAGAAAAGTGATTTAAGTCACTTTGGCATGGTTGTTGGTGTCGGTCTGAGTATTGCAGAAACTGCTGATCTACTCGAATTCTCTCACACAACCATCTCTAGGGTTTACAGAGATCTGTACAACTATCAAACATCAAACACCCAGTTCTATGGGTGAAAATGCCAAGTTGAGGAGAATTTGAGCTGATAGGAAGGCAACAGTAACTTAAATTATCACATGTTAAAACTAAGGTATGCAGAAGAGCATATCTGAATGCACAACATGGTAAACCTTGAAGCAGATGGGCTCTGGGAACAGAAGACCACACCAAGGTCTACTCCTGTCAGCTACAAACTCAAAACAGTGGCTCAAACGGTTAGCTCGTGGTGCTAAAATTGCTCAAATCTGCAGCAACTGCATGACACTATCATGTCACTGTGAACCTAATCTCTGATGTTTCTGTCACATAGTTCAGTCAGCCATGAAGTAGCCCAACACAATACAAGTAAGGTATAACTAAAGTGGCCAGTGAGTGAATATTTGACGCTGGGTAATCAGACTGCTGTGGGGTTGTCCAACATTTGGCGACTACAGATGCAAATCAGCTTTAATCTGCATCTGCCAAAGTAAATATAATGTTTTTATCAGTACATTTAGTGCATTGGTGAACCCTATTACAGTGATATCATTACTACACCATTTTGCACACATTTAATAACACTATACTGATAGCAAACAAATATTCTCAATGGTGTAATGATTTTTTTTAAAGGAGCTTTTAGTGACTAATGTAACCGTCACTGTACTTGACATTATAATTGCAGTGGAGATGTTAAATCACTCGTGCACATAATAAAACTTTCTGTCACGGACTGGAGGAACTTGTAGTCTGCAATGTAAACTCACTATGAGGATAGCATTTTCCACTCAGAGAGGTTTCTGGACCCAGATCATCTCTAAAGTGCTTCATTTTTACATTGTCTTACAATCAACATCATTCTAATGAAAAACAGGGTTACTGAAAGGTCTGCCCAACATGAGAGTTAGCAGTTTTCTTTCTTTTCAAGCAGTGCTGCTACCATTTCCTGAGGATATGTTGGACTTTCTGCTGTAATCAGTCACAGGCAAAGACTCTCATCCCAAAGCTGTGTGGATTATGAGAGTGTCAGGATGACCTTCAAGAGAGCAAGCGAGGCAATGAGTAACACTCAGGGAAGGCAGTGCAGTGTAGACAGGCAAATTACAGCGAGATTTTACATGGTTCGTACCGTGCACTGAACTTCATCATTAAAATTGTTTATTTTGCTAACTTTTTAAAGGAAAGCCATCTGATTATACTTTACAATGTTTGAATTATCAATATCCAAGAAGGAAGGACTCAGTCTGGAACCATAGCCCTGGCAGAACAAAAAGCAATCCCAAGTAATTTTTTAAATGTCATTCTTCTGATTGCCGACCGTTAAACAGTTTGATCTTGGGGAATGACTGGAAGGGTAACTGGTGTACAAACTACCATGTCAAACAAAATCAAACCCACTGTGGTGATTCCACAGCATATGGGAGCAACCAGAAGTAGCTTCTTCTGACAGCTTTTCTTGTGTTTGATCAATCATTGTTTGCAGGTCAGTCACTGGGGGCATCTTTTAATTATCTTTATGTTAGGTTAGCAAAGCTGTGACAACAAAGGTGGGTTCCTAGATTCACAGACATCCTCATCAGTTATATATAGTTTTCATCAAAGTGTCAAAGGTGGGGCCGAAGGGAGGCCCCTGGAACAAAATGCAACAATGGGTGGAAGCTACACAGGGGATAAAGAGGTCTCGCTAGTCCTACCACTCTGTTAAAATTTAATATATTTACTGTTGAAAACAGATTATTTCTTATCCGGTTAAATCGCTGTTAGATCTTGTGCATCAGGGCACCTGCTATTAATTACTGCTCTCCTAATGTATGGAGGCAGGAGGTCTGTGCTCGTTACCATCATTGTAACTCAGCGAATGGTCAGCTGGTCAACATCTGGTAGAAACAACCCCCCACCCCCTTACTCATTGCTGGATCCCCCTGTGCCACCCGAATCTAAAAAAAAAAATCCTGTAAGTGCTCCTGTAAGCGTTATTTATGCATGAATAAAAACAGAGTTGTGAAGTAAAGCACTCCAGCCTTCCTGATCTCATTCAAGAATAATTTACTGCTCTTCATAATATTTTAATCTAAGTCTAATATAATGAGTGGGGAGTTGTTTTTGAACTAACTCTGTTGCTGCCAGAAGCATTGAGGCTGCACTAATTTGTTGTTCCCAAAGCTGGATCCCACTTGGATTCTACTATTTGAACTTTAACTAAAAGTAAAAGTAGGTGTCGCTTAAACGTTAAACTTGAATAGATTTTTACTACTAAAAAAGGCTGATGGGGTATTGTTGTTACCCTGTCGGGCAGCTGGACAACTCGATTTCATAGATATACCTGCTAAAAATCTCAGCCGAACTCGAATCTCAGTGACCTCGACCTCAAGGTCAAGGTGAGAGGTCAGGTTTTCTGAACATTTTGTGAATGCAATAACTGTAGGCGTGTCTACTAGGACACAGGGGTAGCACTGGGGGGCTCCCTGTTGATGTTATGGTCCTGAGTGCATGTGATACTGCTTGTTTTTGATACTGCTTACTGAGTAACCTCAGTTTTAAACAGGAATATAACACTGGCAACCAGTTAGGTCAAGTCTCCTATCGCAAAGAAACACGTTGCAGACAAGTTGCACTGATCACAGCAGACACACTCAGACTGATTGTAATGTCATAGAAATCTATGTTTATAAATTAGATGGCAATTGTTTGCAAAGCTTCACTAATGAAGAGTGATTGCAGTCAGTCCAAGTCAGACGATGATTGTTTGGAGACAGGTTGCTTCCCACCAGGTGTCTTGAGCAATCACCTTGACATCGAAAGTGATCATCTAGAGGTTGAGGGTATTGCATGCTTAACCTATGAGCGACCAGTTAATCACCCCATCTCCTTGTAGTTCAATTAGGTCACTGGAAAGCCGTCAATTTTCACTAATCACGCGGGTTAGTGTTCTATTTTTAATCTAGTGTGACTGTGCTTTTGTGCTTCTGTTTTTGTTTTGTGTCTCCCACCTGCCTCTGTGTTCTGCTTGTAGGTCCTCTCATCACTGTTTTATGACAGCTGATAAAGCGGGACATTAATAGCATGTGTAAATGTCACCTCATTTGGTGTTTGACCTGTGGCAGTTAAGACGAATATTGGGCTCATATCAGCGTATGATAATGTAACACTGATATATCAGTGTTCGTGCTGCGAGAGGATCCCTTGTTTAACAGATGAACCTCTGACTATCCCATGCCTCATTAAACTACTAACATGAGACGTGTCCTTTTTCATTTGTGATGGTTTGAGGTGTTTCTCTCGCCCGGGGTGCGCATTGCATCGCTGACTGCTGTTTACAGCAGCGTAATATCATTTGGGAACTCAACCCTGCACTAAGTAGGACATTTCTGGATGATTGATGAGGATCATTTGATGTTTGACAGCTCAAAGGTGGCCGGGACTCATGAAGAACCACTTATAGAGAGGATGAGTCGAACAAGCGTAAATGCATCTTTGTGCTTTAGCCCTCCTCACTGTGACCTTTGCTGCTTTGAGCGTTGCCGCTTGGTTAGCAAGGTGCACACTGAAGCTCTTCACTAGGAGTTCATGAATACGCTCTGCTTCACGCCGACTTTTCTCTCCTCATCTCCAGTGACCTTCTCAAGCTCCTCACTGCTCGTCTTACACATTTTCATTGACCCACCGGCTCTCCACTAGCAGCCGTCATCCTGCATTTTTCAGCGTGTGTTGACACAGATGAACAGTCACAGCAGATTACTCAGTGGCTCCCTTCTCCTCTCCCTAATTTATTTGCACAAGAAAATCTATTTCCCTGGAAAAAAGGCTCAGTTTGAGAACATTTCTTTCTACTTAGCGTATTATTAGTCATTAGTTCAGTCTAATAAAATATAGCATGAAAAGCTGGTGACGGTGACGAGAAAATGTTTACTAATGTAACTGCAAACTCATATTTTCTGGTGTTCTTGTGTGCGCCTTGCTAAATAGAAGTTCTTTCTGTTGCAGGACAATAGAGGCATTTTTTCACTCCTGAAACTTAAATGTGCTTTCTGTTTCATCCGTAGGTGCTGTCAGTGCAGATGTGCGACGTGGTGAACGAGATCCAGCTGGAGAAAGAGCGCTGTGAAAATAGCACCTCTGGGAACGTCACTTCAGGTCATTATGGAAAACATATGTAGTCTCTCCAGCTCTTTAGGGTGTGCAAAAGGCTACTTAAAGAAAAAGGGAGGCATAGTTGGTAAATATATAGTAAGGTGAGGTCAGACAGTGTGTGAATGTATATTTCAGAAATACATTTCTTCAGGACATAACAGCCACATTCAGACACGAGAGGGAAAATAACTTTCAAAATAAAACAGGAAGAGACTGAAATAGAAACATGTAACACAATGACAGACAAACAGCAGGAGACACAAACAAGGAGGCACAGCAGTAAGCCACATGCATAACAGTAGTACACTTTTATCCTGTTAAAGTAGCTAAAACTACACCAATGCCTTTTAACTCAGACACCAATTTAGATTCAAAATGTAATGTATGCTTCTCTTTTTGGCCCACTGAGATATCTGCTTGGCCGTCCTTCCTGTGACTTTAGGAACGCAGTGAAATATTGATGTTAAACGTTGTTGGCACTATCTCCATTTCCTTTCATTTTAATAAAAAATCACTACACGTGCTGTACATACGGCATGCTGCGTTAAGGTAACAGTGGAAACAGCGTTCTTTATTGCTGTAATGGCCCTTATTTTTCTACTTTCTTATCTACTTCCTCAACCAGAACATAGTTGAAGTGGCAGTCAGGGGTCACATCCTGAGTAACTGAGTTAACATGAGTGTTTGTGGGGAACCATAAGCTTACAGACTATGGCGGTGCAACATAATACATCAAGGGATCCTTCAGCAGTTCCTTGGTTTTCTTATAATATTTTGGACATTAAAACATTTTGATCGAAAGTAGATTTTAGCTTGTAGCATTAATCAAGTATAAACATTTTATTAAAGGACAATATGGTGATTGCACAATATGTCATAATGAAGCTGTTTGTTTGCTTTGCATTGCTCACGTCATCATTTCCTGGGGTTAACTCGGGTGTTGTCAAGTAAGTCATGTATTTGAAAGGTGCAGCTGAATAACACTTTCAGACTGCTAGGTTTTCACTTTTGTTTTCCAAAATTATTATTTAGAAATATGTATTTTTTATTAGATTTTATTAGATTAATAAAAAAATAATAACTAATTATAAATAAAATAATAAAAATGAATTAAGAATTTAAAATACTTAAAATAAAAACAATAAAAAATATGTTCAAAATAATAATAGATCAAAGAAAAACAATGGTGTGCTTGGTTTCAACGTAACTTTATTCTTTCATGAGTTATTTACAAGTTTCTGACCACTTATAAAATGTGTTCAATGTGCTGCCCATTGTGTTGGATTGTCAATGCAACCCTCTTCTCTCACTCTTCACACACTGACAGCAACACCGCAGGAGAAATGCCAGCACAGGCATCCAGTATCCGTAGTTTCAGGTGCTGCACATCTCGTATCTTCACATCATAGACAATTGCCTTCAGATGACCCCAAAGATAAAAGTCTAAGGGGGTCACCATTGTTTTTCTTGTGACATTACCAATAAGTTTGGTGTGTCACATGGCCCTCTTCCTATTGAAAAAACAAAAGTTGTATCCAAGATGGCCGACTTCTAAATGGCCACCATGGTCACCACCCATCTTGAGGAGTTTGCCCCCTCACATATACTAATGTGCCACAAACAGGACTTTAATATCACCAACCATTCCCATTTTATTGCGGTGTATCCATATAAATGGCCCACCCTGTAGAGTCAGAATTTGATGTAAACAACATGAAAGCATGGGTCCATTTTACCACGTATCACCATCTCACAAAGCTCGAATCATCTTAAACTCAGTATCATTTCTTATATATATGACAGTGAGTTCACTGGACTCAAACGGCATCCACAGTCACCAGATCTCAGCAAACCTGCAGCAACTGTGGATGAAAATCTCCATCTTTCCCCCCAAAATTGTTTCATCTGTAGAATAATTATTATTAAGGTAGGGGCCTAACTCCATATTAGTGTCTCTGATAAACTTTCCACTGAGACTCTCAGGCAGTCCATTATCTCAGATAAATGTCAAGCTGATTAAATATTGATTGTGACAAATCAATATGTTTAAAAATAAAAATTCATCTGTTGCTTGAAGACTGGAGGCATAGAAGATGAAACCACCATGAATGAGTTTTTCTTTAACCCATATTATGACATTTACAAAACTCTAAACTTGTAACTAAGTCCCTAAAGTGAAACTGAGTGATAACACGCAGCTGCTGCTTGCCATTAATAACTTATTCAATTTGGCTTTAGTGTTGGACATGATTTCATTTTGTCATCGTGGTGTTGGTGCTTGCACGTGTGTCTCTTACAATATGAGCGATGCCATGTTGATGTTATTATGTTCACCTGGCAGGGTGCCAAGGCATGTGGGACATCATCGCCTGCTGGCCTTCAGCTCGGGTCGGAGAGGTGGTTACAATAACCTGCCCGCCTTATTTCAGCTACTTCAGTGACCATCAGAAAGGTAAATCGATTACATTCAGTGCAAGTGCACAAAAGAAGGAATAACAGATGTTCTCTATGTGCTCTTCCGTAAAATAACAAGCTCAAGAAGAAGAAAACTAACCGTCATTTAAATGTATGTAATTTTCTTTATGAAGGAAATAACTGCTTTGTGGCCAAAAAGCCTAAAGATGCCATAGCAGGACTTCACTCAGCAGTGCTGTCACGGGCTAACACATTTATTTATTCTTTTATAACTGTGAGTATTTTCATATTTAAAAGGTTATTTGCATACAGTTGAGCCTTTGGGTAGACACTGAAGATAAAATTTTCTCCTTGCATACAAATGGACTTTTAAAATATCAAGGACAGTCACTGGATGCCCAACAGAAAGCCTGCAGCAAACATCTCAGGGGAGATTGGATTGGATATTGATTCATGAGGCCCATAAAAAGCTTCATTTCATCATTTTTGACACGACAAATCCATAAAATATCAAAAGGTTTTGCATGTATCCATTTTATTAAAATGCAAAAAGAATTTAACCGTGTCAGCCTAAAATCAACCAAAGCACATGATTATCAACTTTAATGTTAAAACAGTCCTATTTATGTAATAGTGGAGCGGGGAACACAGACAGGATAGTGGGGAGAGAGAGAGAGAGAACGGGAGGACATGCAGGTTGAATCAAAGCCAGGCCTCTAGACATGCGGCATACTGTCGTCTGCTCACCCACTGAGCTAAACTGATGCCCACTAGCACAGATTTTAAAAGTTGACTACTGTTAGTGAAGCTTACCGATTAGCTGTAGAGGTTTGGTGCTTGGAAGTGTTCAGCTGACTCAAGCTTCTGATAAGCGGAATAAAACCATAAATATCAAACATCTCAGGGGCAAGCCGATGCAAGCAATTACAAGGGTTTTAAAATGAATCCTAAGCTGTACAGGTAGCCAGTTTAACGATACCAAGGTAAGTTTAATAGGTTCATCTTTTCATTTACGAGTATCAGCATTTTGGACTAACTGCAATCGTCATAAACGTGCCTGGCACGCTCTGGCATATAAAGAACTGCAGTAATCGAGTGTGGCTGTGGTAAAATCACGGATCACATTCTGAAAGTTATTAAAAAAATAAAAGGTCTCATTTTGGCTTTCACTGAGAAAAGCTTAAAAAAATCTAATCTGCAAATCTCATTTCAGACTCTGTTCAAATTTGTCTTTTTCTACCACATTTTCCCTGATTCCTGATCACGTGCTGTGAGGGTTTTCTGAAGGAATCGATTTTGCAACTTATTAAGTTGTGCTTAATACCTCAAAGGAAGTCGTGGAGTGAAGTTTTACTGTACAGAATTTACCTGCATTCAGTTGGTTATGCAGATGTATAAATGCATAAATTCTTTTACATTTGATTGTAATTTACCACCAAGTCTATTTTATGCTGCTGGAACTGCAGGTAAAAGAGTAAAGATGAGAAAACTAAATTAAAGAATAATTAAATTTAACTTGGATGTGACCACAAATTACATTGCTTTCAACATCTCTCTCTCTCACGAGGATATGCACTCATGTATAAATATAAATATGTTGTCAGAACTATAAGGCAGCAGCTGTCAAAGAGTGACGGTTAAGAAATAAATGTCAAGCACACGAGGGTTAAAATAAATATATTACATCTCTAAATATATTACCTCTCTTGACTCATTTGCAGGATCTGTGTTGCCTTTTGCGATTATATTTTCACATCCCATTCTTTATCTGTCCCTATCACCGGTTTTTCTGATAGTGTCTTTGACAAAAATAGGCAGCCTTCAATTGGTCCATTTTGTGCAGAAGGAGAGCCAAATGACACCTTTTATGTGAGCGTGCACACAGCCTGAAGCAGAGAGAGCTGATAAGCACTGTCATAATACCCGTCATGTCTGATTGAGGTTTTAAGCTGATGTGTTGTCAACCTAATGGACAGAAAGCCTATAGCTATGCTGAGCTTGCTGCACAGTGAACTGCACTGTTAAACAACTACGTCATCGTGCTGTGTGGAAGGACATTGTTCTGATTGAAGTGTCTCCACATAATACTAGTGTTCTGTGTTGAACCTGCAATGTGTATGTATGGTGCATATAGAATTTGAAAAAGCGCTTGATGTTAACGTTAAAACTTCACTGAGGTTACTGTAGATGTAATGAATGGACAAAGCCGAGGACTAGATGTAAAGTCTGGACAGACTCGATCACAGTCTGGAAGAAAACTGCTCAGACCCCTGCTTAACCTTTATTCTGGACGACGTACAGACACAAAGTGTTATGTGACAGCTGTGTGCAGACTCCGGAGACAGAAAGTAACTCAAAACAGCTTTAATGCTGAACTCAAAAGGGTAACAAAAACTAAGAATACAAAATACACCTACACAGACTAAACACACAGCAAGATAAAGGCAGATCGCAACAATGACAAACTGAAACACAGGGCTTAAATACACAGAGGGAGCAATCAGGGAATGGACAACAGGAGGGAAACACAGCTGGGGCAAATCAGGACTAACGAGACAAAGACGCGTAATCTGAACACACTGAGATAAGACAGAGACCTTCAAAGTAAAACAGGAAACACATAACACAGACTGAACAAAAGACACACACTCACATGCAGGCAGAGGGAACAGAGACGTGTGACCAGGGCAGACACAGACACTGACTGGACACGGGGATATAGCGGACAGGGGAGACAGCAACTAAGGATTTCACAGAGACAAACCATAAGACATGACTCTAACAAAAACCCAAAGACTAGAAATGATAAATAATATAATAAACTCAAAAACCCAGGCATCCTAACACAAAGGAGAGGAAGGGGCTGCTGCTGTTTCAATGAACTAAGACAAGAAAAATAAGCAATAAAACTTTTTTAATATCATCTACAAAGTCCAAAAAGGTTATATATAAATCACACTTTTGCAATTGAGCCAAGTTTCTTTCCACCCCAGCTCCCTTCTTACAGTAAATTAACACTTTTTACTTCACCAAGAATGTTTGATCTTGTCAATGGCTCTACATAAGAAAAAAAGCTGAACGGTCATTTATCTTTTTGCAATTACATATTGCCTGTCTTGGATTTTTTTTTTTTTTTGTTAGCTTTACTTTCTTTTTAAACTCGTGTCCTTCAGATTTACTCTCAATGCCTTTACAGCCGAAGCTTCACATCTGTGACTAAACAAAGAAATCTCATTTCTTACTCTCTTTCTTCTTTCAGTTGAGGAAAAGAGAAAGAAGATAGATATTGTCACAGATGGTCTGCTTGAATGGACAGACTATAGTGAATCACTTCAGCGTCTGTGCTGCATTGATGTCTTTGTTTTCGAAAGAGAAACGGATGTTTTGTTTTGTGTGTTTTAGGGGTTAAAGTAGGATTTGACAGACCGGAGAAAAGAATTACGTCAAGGCCGGGTAAGGCTGTGATCAGCTGACCTGTGCTGCTCCTCACTATTCACTACTATTTTACTATTTACTGCTCTTTGTGGATTTAACTAAATTCAAAAAGATACACTCTGAAAAAAATAAATGAAATTTTCACTCTCAATATACAAAAAGCAATAATTCAGAGTAAAATGAAACAGAAATGTATAAAAGCAAAGGTTTATTTATTTGAATACCTAATCTGTAAGGAAAATGTGCTTGGTATAAACTGAACGTGTACAAATCAACATTTTACACTGTAGTTGTGTAACAAAATTAGGTGGAAATTTACATGTAACTAAACTAAATAAAGTCATCAGTTTGAGCAGAAATCTTTTCTTTTCACTCCTTATACGTTGTTGTTTTATGAGTTGTATTCTAACTCATAGACCATATAAAGCTAGTATAAAACATAAACAATGGCATAAACACCTTAAAGCTGCAATGTGTAAAATCTCAATACTAGATATAAGTAGATTGCAGATTGCAGTCGAGTGAGTTTTGTTTTGTAAGCCTCCCAGTTCAAGTGCATAATCCTAGCTAAGTTCACAGCTAAGTTCACATGAACTAAGTTCAAAGCTGTCAGTCAACGTCTGTTTACTCTGCAAGAGGCTGAAAACTTTGTGAAAGAAGTCATATATGAATCAGTGAAGCTCTCTTCTGTTCGATAACAGCAAAACTGAAGTGAGTTGTTGAGCTGAACTTTTACTGTCAGTAAGTGCTGCTGTTAGCTGCTGTTAGCCTATGTTAGCTGCTGTTAGCCTATGTTAGCTGCTGTTAGTTAACATTAGTGAAACTGTTTTTGAAGTGGATCTAACGTCGTTGTACTGTGGAGGACCCTATTTAAGATGTATAAAAACACAAGTTCTCTTTTCCTCCGCCTTTGAGATGCTACATATTGAGCCGGTCTTTAGCTGCATACATAACTAGGTTAGGCAGAACTCAAGATAGCGGGGCAACATGGTGGCATCAAACTGGTACCTTATGCACTTTTAATGGCTTGATTAATTCAGTTCAATCCAGTTTTATATATATATAATACCAAATCACAACAGCAGTTGTCTCAAGGCAATTAATTAGAAGTTCATTTCAATGTGGCAGTTTGTTGGAAGACATAATTACACAGTGTTAATGTCCGCTACCTTGATGTACCCTAGTAACAATACCCTAGATGCAGCCAGTCTAACATAGTGCATTGCTGTAAACTTTGATGCAGTACTCCAAACTAACCCACCTTTGAATAACACTGATTCAGTTGGTTTCCCAAGATATTTCACAAAAATGTAATCCAGCAATACATCACGTAGATCCAATATCTGAGTTAAAAACTCTAAAATGATTAAGGATATTACTTGCAAATATCCTTAAATTTCCAGTTCATAACTTGCAGGGAAGTCCTTACCTTTGAAAATAATCTCTCATCTTCCTCTGTTTTCCTGTCTTTCTTACATCTTTCTCCATCTATCAATGCCGCACATTAACATTTTTCTTTCTTCTCCCTGTGAAATATAGCAGCTGTAATTTAGCTCATTTTGTAACAAGTAGCACACAAACAATTTGTGTGTTTGCTGGTAT